TTGTTTTTTTAAAGCCATGCGGTTTTTTGCCGCTGATGCTGAGTCAGGAATCCTCCCTTTAAGGAGCCGCGCAAATATCTGCTTGTCTCTCACAAAACAGAGTCCAACCGAGAAAAATGCTGTTACCAAGAAACCTTGCTTATCTCTGTTCTTTTGTTTCTAAAACCCATTTTTAACCTTTTGTTAAATTTTAAGTGGAAGTTCTTACTAGCCACGTGGGTGCCATTTGTAAGGCGTATCAAAAAAAAAAAATACATAGGCATATTAAAAAAAAAAAAGATGAAAAGCTCAGAGACAATCTGGTTACTGTATGCTATTGTGTTGTCTCTACATTGTTTGACTGCTGAGAAAATAACAACAACTGATAAAGGAAATGCTGCTGGATTAATTCAATTTATATATTTTAAAAATGCTTTGACTCCAACATTTAAGTTCAAGGACAAGTTACTGGGGAAAAGGATTTCTATTTTTGTTTCCACAGAAAATGAAAAGCTGTGGATTCCTTGCAGACTAATGTGGTTTGAGCAAGCCAGACCCCCTGAAACAGAGTTCCTGATGATCCAACATTCAAAACAGCTTGAACAAGGCAGACTTGCAGACTACAGCCAGGATTTCTGCATCTTCTTAGGATCCCCATGACAGCGCCCCCTATCAGCAGGAAGTAGTTTGGAAAGAACGACGCCCAAATTCCCAAATATTGTTTATAAATGTTTGGTTTCATTTAAATGGACTTGGTTATAAATGGGTAATGATCGCAGCCAATTATTTTTAAAGGTAAAAAGGGAATTATGGTATTGATATGATTACTTTGTTTTGGAATGGATTTTCATTTATTGATACAATTTAAAGTCAATTTGGTGAAATGTATATTTCTCCTCTTGTTTATGTATTGTGTTTCAGTTAGAAATGTAATGTATAAGGTAGTACAGATTATAGATAGTTACCTATGATAGTCAGAACTTATAGTTAAGTTAGTTAGGATTTCTAGATATACAGACATGTATTTAAGATAGATAGGAATTCTTCAAACCTTTCAAAGACCTACAGAATATGGCATTTAAAATAATTTAGGGTTTTACTTGACAATGAGACATAAATGCTCCTGGTAACACCACCTGCGTCAAAAAGGAAGATGGACATTAAAGAAACACGTTTTGGAGTTTACTTCCAATATGGCAAGACTAGCCATTTGGACAAGATACTCCTCTTGTCTGGACTGTTTGACTTTGTGATGTATAAACTGGACATGCAGGACCCACAGGAAAGTGACTTCTGAGTCAAGATGGAGAGTCTGAAGAAAGCAGTATGCCGCCGGCTCCCTGGTAAGAGAAATACATAGATCAGCAGAAATGGGTTAATAATTAAAGGCAGAGCTAGCCGATAAGAAACTAGTACCTGGCCAATAGTATAATATCTAATATAGAGTCTCTGTGTGTTAATTGGGGCTGGCGCGACAGCAGGACAAGACCAGGCGGCGGCAGGCGGAAAAACCCGTACTCGTTACACAATGTCTTTGAAGGAGCCTTTCTACACCACACAGACAGCTGGAAACTTTGTGTGCAGAGCAATCATGATTTTTTTTTTGAGGGTGGGGGTTGTGACTTTGCTGTACCCTAGCCTCAAACTGTCTATAGAGTCAAGTATTTCCTTGTAATTCTGACTCTAAATCTTGGAAATGCTGGCTCTGTATGTTGGGACTGCACACACAGCTTTTTCCTACCTGGAACTTAATTCTGATGTCTTCATTTGTGACTGTTGGGCTCATAAACTTGGGCCAGCAATCCTGGTGGAACACCGTAAGCAAAGTCATAGACCACTGGCCTAGGAAAACATAACAGACCATGGATCACTAACTGGTGTCCTGATTCCATAGAAACCACACCCAGATGCTCTTTCCTTGGACTCTTCTACTTTCAGTACATCCCAGGGTCTCCCATATTCAGACAGGAGGGAAATCTCATCAGGAGAGCTGGTCTGTGTCTAGCGATCCAACTCTGTCCTAGGAGGGCTCTAGATGTGCTGAGTCTCCGTAAGCTCAACTAGATGGATGATGTGGAGATTTTGTTTTCCTCATCCCTCCACTTCAAAGCCTGTGTGCCAGAAGCAGGGAAGGTGAATGAGAGCCAGGCCCTCATCTCCTGTGCTGAGCTTGCAATCTTAAAGTCAGGCCTCCAGGCCTTACGTTTTCACCTGTAACACAAGGTGCAATCACTTCCTTCAGTGAGCTGTTGTGATGCTAAACTAAAGTTAGTGGGATATTGGCTGGCATATACAAATATCCAAAATAAGTATTAGTTGGTTGTATTAGAAAGGCTAGGAAATCACACATACTACCATATTCTGTCATAGATAATTCTTTCTTAGATATCTGTGGATTTAGTGACAGCAGAGGAAGAAAAGTTTGTCCAAATTATTTGTTGTCAAAATGGATTAGCAGATCCCTCTAGGAGACTTCAGTTTGTAATTGGCCAATGAATGAAAGAATTCAGGATATATTGTACCTGAGCTAGGGGTGAGAGGTGGTAACAACTGAGAAATGCTTTCCTGGCCAAGCTGTGACCTGCTGTGGCTACAGCGTGGGCAATACAGTGCAGGTGGTGGTCTGTGCTCCACGATGAGAAGCTGGGCATCTTAAGGTATGAGAGAGGCAGAGGATGCAGAGTACCACGAGTGTTTTCATGGGGGTTTGTGAATGGAGGGACAGGAGGTAGAGGAGTCAGTTGTGTGCTGAGGTTTAGTCTTCACAAAGAAGGAAGTTTAGGAAAGACCAGCGCACGTGCTAAAATGACAGGGCACTGGAGCTTGTAAAGGCTCTCAACAGGGGCCAAATAGGAGCAACATGAAGACTTTGAAACACCACTTCAGCAGTCACACAAAGAACATGCAGAGGAAGGCCAATGCCCAGCACTGAGAAAGGGAAGTGGACACAAAGTTGTGCCCCAAACAAGAACTTACTTGCAACAGGTACCTATTGGAAAGGGGAAAGTCCGTTTTCTTCATTAGAGTCTTTGTGCTTATCAGTTACTCTGTGGTTGGCCACTAGGAGACTGACTTCATGGTTTTGTTTTTTGTTTGGTGTTCTTTTGTTTTTGGTTCTCTTTCTTCTAGGTTTTCTTTTAATATCTGTAGTTTTTGTTTTGTTTTGTTTTGTTTTGTCTTGTCTTGTCTTGAAAGGAGAAATGGGAGGAAAATGAACGTGAAGTTGGGTGAACATGGTCTGGGAGAAGTTGGGGGAGATGAGAGACATGATCAAAGTATATTATATGAAAAAAATTTAAAAATTAAAGACAAAGGTAAGACTGTATTGAGGAGGAAATGTAGAGGCAAGGGTCTCATGGAAACACTGACACAGAAATGCCAGGAGAGATGCTAGGCTCCTGACCTGGGCTGAAGAAGGACAGCTGTGAGGGTTATGAGCAGTAGATTGGTCAGGAGAGGGGATGGGAACAGGGAAAGTGAAGACAGGACTTTTAGAAGTCTCATATTTCTGCTCCCATGAAAAACAATTCCCAGCTTAACCTTTGTATTGCAGGTTAGCATATGAGTAGTGTCCAAGTTAAGACTACTGGAGCAGTGTTTGGAAATTTTCTTTACATGTCTTTGTTTGAGCATATGTTTGTATGTGCCTATGTGTTTACATATTATTTCAGAAAAATAGTTGGTATTTGTATTGCCGGGCAATGGAATAAATGTGTATAAATGTGTTCAACTTTAGAGAACACAGCCAGACACACACTAAAGAGATCAATTCAATTTACTCTCCCATTGGATTCGGTTACTCTTCTCTCTCTCTCTCTCTCTCTCTCTTTCTCGCTCACACACACACTATTATTATTATTATTATAACCATGCTGGTAGGTGTGTGGTGGTGTGAATTGAGAAAAGGAAGGTGAGTGTTGGCACTGTGGTGTTCTCCAGCAATGTCCAGATGAGCAATGGTGCTGAGAACCTTAGCCTCATCAGTGCTCACAGCTGCCTTTGTGAAATGTCCTGTGAATATGGTTCACTGTTCTATTGGAGTGTCTGTTGCTATGTGTGTGCTCTTCTAGATCTTTCTATAAGTATGTTGAGTACTCTCTTTTCTTATTCTAGCTTACCATTATTTTTTCCTTCAAAGAAATCTTACCTTTGCTTCCCCTAAAAGGATAATATATTTATTGGGTTTGATTCTAAAAAATTGGTTGCTTTAGATTTACCACTTAAACCTGTGGCACACTTGGACTTGATTGTGTACAGAGGGAGACATGAGTAAAAAAGGAAGAAAGAACTTTTCTCCTCACATGACCCATCAACATTCCGTGCACACATGACCCTCTGTCATTACTCATAGGACTTCATGTGGGTGGGGGTGGGCCTGTGCTGAACTGGTGTTTTCTGTCTTCTTCATCTACATTTTTACCCTCTTTTTTTTTTTTGCATATGTCTGTGGTATGTGTGTGTGTGTGTGTGTGTGTGTGTGTGTGTGTGTGTGTGTGTGTGTGTGTGTTTCATTGGGGCAGAGTCTCCCAGGTGAACTCAGTGTTTATCATTTCAAGTAGTGCAGCTAGCCCTCTTATACTGGGGCTCGTCTGTGTCTGCCTTCCCAGCGCTAGCATGAGAGTGTGAGACTGCAAATGGCATGTCATGTGTTACATGGTGCGTCCAGGAGTTATATGAGACCCTTTAGACAGTCATCAGAATCCTGAGACATGCGTGTCATCAACCTCACTTGATAGATGAGGAGACTGAGACATTGGGAGGTTCAGTAACTTGAGAAGAGCTCACAGAAACTGACCAGTGCTCAGAACCGCACTTCAACCTTTCTTTTATAATTAGTTTTGCTTTTTATTTTTTGTGTATGGGCTTTTGCCTGCATGCATGCTTGTACACCATGTGAGTCTCTGGCCTATGGAGGTGAGAAGAAGGAATCTGGTCTCCTGGAACTGGAGTCACAGACAACTCTGAGCTGTGTGGTTTCCCGGAACAGCAGTCAGTGCTCTCTGAGCCATCTCACCACCCTGTCTCTGCCCTTTCTGCCTCTATAGCTGCCATGTGACAGGTGACTCATAGATAAATGTGATTCTCTTACAGCCTGCACCATGTGGATGATTCCAGGACAGAACCAAAGCTGGGTTTCTGAGTTTATCCTGCTTGGCTTCTCCAGTGACCCCACAACCAACAGCATCCTCTTCACCGTGTTCCTTCTCATCTACCTGAGCGCAGTCATGGGCAATGGGCTCATCATCATGCTGGTCTGCATGGACACACAGCTGCACATGCCCATGTACTTCTTCCTCTGCATCCTCTCCCTGTTGGATATGTGCTATGTCACCACCACCATGCCCCAGATGTTGGTGCATCTTCTTGCTGACTCTCAGACCATCCCCTTTGCTGGCTGCTGGCTGCAGATGTATGTGTTTGAAGCCCTGGGTATAACTGAGTGTACCTTCTTTGTTGTCATGGCTTATGACAGATATGTGGCCATTTGCCACCCACTTCATTATACTGTCATCCTCAACTGGGAACTGTGTATATGGTTGGCATCTGGGTCTTGTGTCTGTGGCTTCCTCTCTGCTTTGTTAAATACTTTCTTTACCATGAGACTGCCATATTGTGGACCTAACAAGGTCAACCACCACTTCTGTGAAGGCCCTGCAGTGCGTAGCCTGGCTTGCATGGATACCCACCTCATCGAGATGGTGGACCAGATCTTGAGTGTGCTTATGGTTCTTACTCCAATTTCTCTCATTGTGGCCTCCTATGTTCACATTGCAAAGGCAATTCTCAAGATCAAGTCCACCCAGGCCCGCTGCAAGGCTTTCTCTACCTGTGCCTCCCACCTGACTGTGGTCACATTCTTCTATGGTCCAGCCTCTTACATCTACATGAGGCCCAACTCCAGCTACTCCCCTGAGAGAGACAAGAAGATCTCACTCTTCACTGCCTTGCTCAACCCCATGGTCTACAGTCTGAGGAACAAAGACATCAAGAGAGCATTTCTCAAGGTGATAGGGCAGGGCAAGGTGGATTGCTGAACCCGGATTTAGCAGAACCTGGAGTGAATCATTCACTAATTAAGAAAGGGACAGTGTCTTTATTATATGTAACTGACCAGTGCATTTGAACCAACATTATATTTGGTAACAAGGACAAACCACTCTGAAACCTGGGTGGCTGTCTTGATTGAGAGGCTACACTAGGGTATAATTATAAACACCTTAGTAAATTTACCAGATTATAGCTTTGAAGATTCATCTGTTACTCATGTTTGCAGCTGTAGGCGTATAGTGACCTTCTGTCCTCTCACATCTAATCTGAAGGAGGAACCTTATATCCAACATGTCACCCTAGAAGGAAAGGAATGGTGGACAAACTCACAATGGCTCAGCTTCTCAAGAATGATCTGCTTCTCTTTCCACAGGATTTTTTGACAAAAGTAATTAGCATGTTATTGTGGAATATTATTTTAACTATGTAAAGGTATGTTACATTTGTTTATGCTGCATTTGTAATGGTGTAAGGATGTGATACATTTGTTTGTGCTGCATTTGTTTAATTATGTAATGATGTGTTGCATTTGTTTCTACTTGCCTGCCTAAGGTACTTGATTGCTCTCTTAAAAAGCTGAAAGGCCAATAGCACGTGGGAGAAGGATAGATAGCAAGGATGGCAGGCAGAGAGAATAAGTGGGAGGGAAAATGTAAGAATGAGAGATACAAGCAAGCAGAGGTGTGTCTCCTTTAAGAGATGGCTTCCTGTTCCTGACTCAGTGCTAGCAGCAAAACCCATGAGGCTCTCCTAAAAGGCTCTGCTACCAACCACTTAAATGGGGGTTTATGAGCAGCAAGTGGCATGCTACTAGGAGGCAGCATAGACTCAGGAACTTCCCAGAGTTGGGGTGGTAAACATGGCTCTAGTCAGGACCTTGGCCATGAGAGTAGGCTCCCAGGGAACAAAGGAGTGAAGCAGAGACAGCTGCCAAAGCCGTGGCTTTAGTCCTGGCCACACAATTTAAAGGCTCATGAGGTCAGAAAAAGATGGAGATCTGCAGTAAAGACAGATTCAGATGGAAGAAATTTCTAAATGGTTTACAGTCTGTTAAAAAAAAATATGAATGATTGGGAGAGAAAAGAAAAAGGATTGGGAGGATGGGAGGGAGAGGGAAGTGGGACAGATATGTAAAATAAGAAAAAAAATAAAAATGAAAAGAAAAAAAAGAAAGAAAAATCAGGTTGATTGAGGAAGACTTCCCCTGAAAAATCTCCAGTGGGAACCAATGGCCCAAGTGACCCAGCATCCAGAACAGCTTCCAGGCTTCTGACTGAGATGATGCAGCCTCACAAAAATACTCCAATTAGGACTTGACCATTCTAAACTTCCTCAGGGTCCCACAAAGATTACCAGTTCCCCCCAATCATCAGGAAGTAGTCCTGAGAACTACACCCACATTCCCAAAATATTGATTATAAATGTTTGCTATTAGGAAGTAGTTTGGAAAGAATGACGCCCAAATTCCCAAATATTGTGTATAAATGTTTGTTTTCATTTAATTGGACTTTGTTATATAAAATTAAATAAAAAAATATAAAAAAAATAAATGTTTGCTATTATTTAAGGGGTGGTTGGTTAAAAATAAATGAGTTAAATTCAGAGACCTCTTTCTAAAGGGGGATATGATATAGAAATGATGGTGGGAAAGGGTAAATTATTGAATCTACCTTAATCCAAAAACAACTGTTAATCTAAAAATATTTTATATTGGTATGAATTTTAACTTATTGATACAAGATTTAAGTTATTTCTGTTTATTGTATGTATATGTCTACTCTTGTTTATGGTATTATGTTTATGCAGCTCATTTAAAATGTAAATATAATGAGAAATAGAGATTAATAATAATCCCAGTGGGGGGAAAAAACAATGGAATCTTGAAATTCATAGGCAAATGGATGGAACTTGAGGAAACCATCCTGAATGAGGTAACCCAGTCACAAAAAGAGGACCATGGTATGTACTCACTCATATATGGATTTTAGACATAGAACAAAGGGTCACCAGCCTATAATTAATTAGGATACAAGGAGGAACCTAAGAGATTCATACAAGGTCCCTCACAGAAGGGGAAAGGAACAAGCATATTGGGAGTGGGGGGGCAGTGAGTGGACAGAGAGCTAGGAGAAAGAGAAGGGGAGGAGAGAAAAACATGTGGGACTAGGAAGATTGAGTCAGGGGAGGAATAGATGAGAGAGAGAGATACCATAAAAGAAAGAGCCATTATAGGTTAAAGAGAAAACTGACTCTAGAGAAATATCCAGAGACCTACAAGGCTGACCCCAACTAACAATCTGAGCAGAATTGGAAAGGCTACCTTAAATGCCCTTCCCTGATAGTGAGATTGATGAATAGATGTAGGGAGCCGTCCCTACATTCTCCATTACAAGATGGCACTGGCATCCGGCTGACGGTTGGCATAAATAAGCCTGTGCGCGCGTGCAAGGGGATTTCTCCCGCGCCTCTCCCGTGGCGTCATTCGGCCTGATGAGTGAGCAACCAGTCAGGGAGTGACACGTCCTAAGCGAGGCTGAGTTTCTATATAAGGGTGTGGATTTTTGCTCTCGGGGTCTTCGCTCTACAGTTGGTGTAAGCTTATGCTCTGCCTCTCAAGAAGCATTAAAGCTATTATCGCAGAAGGATCCTATCTGTGTGCCGCGTCGTTCTTGCTGGCGAGACGGTAGCGCGGGACAAATAACTTATCCACCATCTTAGAGTCCTCATCTAGTAGTTGATGGAAACAGAAGCAGACACCCACAGCTAAACACTGAGCCAAACTCTTGGAATCCAGATGCAGAGAGGGAGGAATGATAAGAAAACGGGGACAAGGTCAGGCCACAGAAACCCACAAAGACAGCTGACCTGAACAAGGGGGAGCTAATGAACCCCCAGACCAATAGCAGGGAAACCAGCATTGGACCGACTCAGACCCCCTGAACATGGGTCTCAGAAGGCCTGGAGAGTCTATGGGACCTTTGACAGTGGAATCAGGATGTATCCCTGGTGCATAAAAGGACTCTAGGAACACATTCCTCATGGAGGGATACTCCCTTAACCTAAAGGCAGGAGGGAGGGCCTAGTTTCTACTCCAAATGACTTGACAGATTTTGTTGATACCTCCTGGAAGGCATCATCCTCCCAGTGGAGTGGGGGGGAGGAATGGGATAGGAGAGTGGTCAGGGGGTATGGGAGGGAGGGAGAGACAGAGGGAGGAATGGAGGGAAAGGGAACTGGGATCAATATGTAAAATAAGGAAAAGATAAAAAAACAAAAATAAAAATAATAAAAAACAAAAATAATAAAACATAATAATCTATAATAGCAAACTCACAGTCATGTTAGTGAGGGCTTCAAGGTCATATAGAGATGTAGTTCAGATAGGCAACCTTCAAACACTTCAAAGACCTACAGAATATGGCATTTAAAATGTTTTAATAACTTATGCTTTTTACGATAGTGATACATGTCTGCTCCTGACAGCACCAATCTACTTCAGAGACGATGATGGGCATTGAAGAAACTCCACATGGCATTAATTTTTTTAAGCAAAAGCTAGCCAAATGGGCAAAGAAACTGCCCTTGCCTCATTGCTGACAGTTACTGTCCAAACTGGACCAGTAGGATACAAAAAGCAACTGACAAACTTTGCCAAGACAAGGTAGGACAGTTCTTTAAAATTCCCTGCTTCACAGGAAAGTCTGTCAGATATGCTAGGCTGTTATGAGTATGTTCACAACCCCCCCACGGGTCTGGTCCCAGTGCTGTGCCAGTCCCAATTAACACAGAGAGACACTGTATTTGATATAATTCTGCTGGCCTGTTACTGGTTTCTTATCAGCTAGCTCTGTCTTAAATATTAACCCATTTCTATTAATCTAAGTATTTCCACGTGGTCTCATCTTATCGGAGAGAGGGTCCGGCGTTCTGCTCTTTCCAGTCTCTCCATGCTGACTCCTCCCTACTCTTCCTCGAATCCTCCTTGTTTCCTAGTTCTGCCTATCTTGCTTTCCTATTGGCCAACAGTGCTTTATTCATTAACCAATAAGAGAAACATTTACATTATGACATCTCCAGTCACTAGGCCAGAGTTGGATGCCCGAATGTTACAGAGAACGTTGGGTAAATGTCTAGGCAGCCTGGTATCCCCGTCATTAGGTAACATTTCACCCTTCTTAGTTCTTTTTTTTTTTTCACTTTAGAAAAGGTTTTATTTATGTACAAATAAAAGGCAACATTCTGTCCATAAATTCTACTTTCCAAAACCGAAGAGTTTTTAGTTGGCTTTTTGTTTTGTTTTTTTTTCCTTTTTTTTTAAAATTTATTTTATTTTATATAACAAAGTCCATTTGGATGAAAACAAACATTTATAGACAATATTTGGGAATTTGGGCATCGTTCTTTCCAAACTACTTCCTGCTGGTAAGGGGCGCTGTCATGGGGGAATTCTAAGAAGATGCAGAAATCCTGGCTGTAGTCTATAAGGCTGCTTTGTCCAGCTGTTTTGAATGTAGGATCACCTTGTACTCTGTTTCAGGCGGTCTGGCGTGATCAAACCACATTAGTCTGGAAGGAATCCACATCTTTTCATTTTCTGTGGAAACAAAAATAGAAATCCCTTTCCCCAGTTGCCCTCCAACTTAAATTTTGGAGTCAAAGCATTTTTTTTTTAATTGATCCCAGTTCCTTCTTCCTCCCTCCCTCCCTTCTTCCATCCCTCCCTCCCTCCTTCCCTCCCTTTTACCCTCTCTGCCCTCTCACATGCACTCTAACCACCCTCCCATCCCATCCCCCCACCCCAATTCCATATGTAGGGGAATGCCATCCAGTTGGGGTCATGTAGAACTGACAGGTCATGTGAAGTAGGGACTAGGGCTTCTCTCCTGTCTCTAGATTAAGGCAGTTATCCCTCCATGGGGGATATGTTCGCAAAGTCCTTTTGTGCACCAGGGATACAGCCTGGCTCCACTGTCTGAGGTCTCTTAGA